CAAAGACCCTTGTGATTACAATATTGGGGGCCACCCAGTTAATACAAGATGATCTCCTTATTTCAAAACCTATGAGCACATGAGCAAAGTCACTTTTGCCCCATAAAGTAAAACATCCATAGTTTCCAGGGATTACAACATGGACTTCCTTGAAGTCATTACTCAATGTACCAATTCAAGGATAGGAAAGTTATTTTTGTTCCCATGGTTATTTTTGGGTCAAATTGACACACAGCTAAACTGCCTCAACAATGGTCAGTGCTGTCATGGTTTGCATTTCTCCTTCAACTTCATGGATAATATAAAGCCAAGAGAGTATTGGTCATATATTTAGAGCCTATCTCATGGCCTGTATTCAGCACCAAGTCTTATTTTTAGTAAGAAAACAAGAGCAAAGAGGTGTTAGTTAATGTTGAGTTGTGTATAAGTATGCCTTGTTTGATTGTGCTTTTCTTTATTGTAGTTCAGAGTATTGCATTTTTTATAAGTTGAAGATTTGTGATAACTCTGTATTGAGCATCTATTGTTGCTACTTTATTCCTTTTATAACAGCATTTGCTGACTTTATGTCTCTGTGTCACATTTTGGCAATTATTGCAATATTTCAAACATTTTCACCACTTTTATATTTGTTTTGGTGCTCTGTGATCAGTGATCTTTGATGTTACTGTTGTAATTATTTTAGGTGTCATGAATCATACCCATTTAAGATGGGTGAACTTAACTGATAGGTGTGTGTATTTTGACTTCTCCATTGAATGGCTATTCCTTCATCTCTCTCCAATTCCTCAGGCCTCTGTATTCCATTAGACACAAAAATCTTGAAATTAGGCCAATTAATAACTCTATAGGGACTTCCCTGGTGGTCCAGTGGTTAAGAATCAGCCTTTCAATGCAGGGAACACAGGTTCAATTCCTGGTCAGGGAACTAAGATCCCACATGTCACAGGGCAACTAATCTCAAGTGCTACAACTAAAAAAGTCTGAACACCACAACTAAGACCCGACACAGCCAAATAAATAAATTAATAATAACAAATCATAAAATATTAAAAAAAAATAAACTCTTGACTGGCCTCTAAGTGTTCAAGTGAAGGGGAAGTCACATGTCTGTACTTTGGATCAAATGCTAGAGATGATTAAGTTTAGTGAGGAATACAAGCCAAGAGGCTGAAAGCTAGGTGTCTTGCATCAAACAGTTAGACAGGTTGTGAATGCAAATTTCTTGAAGCAAATTAAAAGTGCTAGTCCAGTGAATGCATGAACGATAAGAAAGTGAAATAGCCTTAATGTTATTATAGAAAAAAGTTTTAGTGATCTGAAGAAAAGAGCAAACCAGCCATAATATTCCCTTAAGCCAAAGTCTAATCCAGAGCAAGGCCCTAACTCTTTAATTTTGTGAAGGATGAGAGAGGTGAGGAAGCTGCAGGATAGTTCGGAGCTGGCAGAGGTTGGTCTATGAGGCTTAAGAAGCCATCTCTATAACAGAGATGTGCAAGATGAAGCAGCAAGTGCTGATGTACAAGCGGCAGCAAGTTATCCAGATCTAGCTAGGATAATTAATGAAGGTGACTACAAACCAAACAAAACAAAACAGATTTTCACTGTAGATGAAACAACCTTATATTGAAAGACCATGCCATCTAGGACTTTTTTCATAGCTAGACAGGAGAAGTCAATACCTAGCTTCAAAGCTTCAAAGGACAGGCTGACTCTTATTAGGGGCTGATGTAGCTGGTGACTTGAAGTTGAAGCTAATGCTTATTTACCATTTTGAAAACCCTAGGGTCCTTAAGAATTATGCTCAATCTATTCTACCTGTTCCCTAGGAATGGAACAACAAAACCTGACAGTATATCTGTTTACAACATGGTTAGCTTAATATTTTAAGCCTACTATGGATACCTACTGCTCAAAAAAAAGTTCCTCTCAAAATATTTTTTATTACTGTTCACTGACAGCGCACCTTGTCGACCAAGAGCTCTGATGGAGATGCAGAGTGAGATTAATGTTGTTTTCTGTGTGCTAACACAACATCCATTCTGTAGCCCATGGTTCAAAGAGTAATTTCAACTTTCAACTCTTCTTACTTAAGAAACATATTTCATAAGGCTATAGCTGGCATAGACAGTGATTCCTCTGATGAATTTGGGAAAAGTCAACTGAAAATCTTCAGGAAAGAATTCACCATTCTAGATGCCATTAAGAACATTTATGACTCATGGGAAAAGGTCAAAATATCAACATCAATAAGAGTTTGCAAAGAGGTGGATTCCAGCCCTTATGGATGACTTGGAGGGTTAAGTTCAAGACTCAAGTGGAGGAAGTAATGGCATATGTGGTGAGAAGAGCATGAGAACTAGAATTAGATGTACAGCCTGAAGGTGACTGAATTGTGGCAATCTCATGATAAAACTTTAAGGGATGAAGAGTTGCTTCTTATGAATGAGCAAAGAAAGTGGTTTCTTGGGATGGAAACAACTCCTGGTGAAGATACTGTGAAAACTACTGAAATGACACCAAAGTACTTAGAATATAATATAAACTTAATTGATAAAGCAGTGGCCGAGTTTGAGAGGATTGACTCCAGTTTTCAAAGTAGTTCTAATGTGGGTAAAATTCTGCCAGACAGCACTGCATGCTATAGAGAGATCATTTGTGAAAGGAAGAGTCAATTCATGTGAAAGATGTTATTGTTTTCTTGTTTTAGGAAATTGCCACAGTCACCCCAGTGTTTAGCAACCACCATCCTGATTAGTCAGCAGCTATCAGCATGGAGGCAAGATCCTCTACTATTAAAAAGATTACAACTTGCTGAAGGCTCAGATGATGATTAGCATTTTTTGACAATAAAGAATTTAATTAAGGAGTGTATTTTTTTAGGCATAATGTACACTTAATGGACCACAGTATAGTGTAAATATAACTTTTATGTGCACTGGGGCATCAAAAAATTCATGTGACTCTCTATATTGCAATATTTGCTTTAGTGGCAGTCTGGAACTGAATCCATAATATCTCTGAGGTATGCCTATAATGATAGAACTTGAAGGGATATGAGAGATTGTGTGATCCAGCCCTATTCTTATACATGAGGAGAATGAGGTGCGGAGAGACCAAAGAGACTTGCCAAGGTTTTCAGCTAATTAGTAACACAAAATAGTAACACCTGCACCTGCTTCCTAGTAGTTGTTTTTTTAGGCAAAACATTCTTTGACATAAATCACAGAAATATCTTTTTGGATCTACCTCTTTTAGAGTAATAAAAAGAAAACCAAAAATGAACAAATAGCACCTAATTAATCTGAAAAGCTTTTGCACAGCAAAGGAAACCATAAATAAAACAAAAAGACAACCCACAGAATGGGAGAAAATATTTGCAAATGATGCAACTGACAAGGGATTAATCTCTAAAATATATTGATACAAATAGCTCACACAGCTCAGTATCAAAAAGCAAGCAACCTAGTGTTGTTCTCATTCCATCACTTGGGTTGTGAATTAAGCTTGGGAAGCCCTCTGTAACTAGTCACTGATTATCTGATCTTGTCATTCTCCCACCCCCACCGCCCTCCAGTTTACTTAACTGGGTAAACAACATTACTTACATTAAAAAAACAGTAAAATCTCCATGAAGTTCACTGATTTAGGATAACCACTGTTTACTAATGTAGCTGATTCATAGAGTGATAGAACGATAACAAATGGATTTAAATTTCAGGATGAAGAGATTTTTTTTGTGGTTTCAAAAATGTGGTCTAAGGAATATAGGTAAAATGAGTGTGGAGGAAAATATCTAGTTTCCTTGTTTTTTTTTTTAAATCTTTAAATATTTGTTCACATCTCTGGTTATTTATTTATTTTTTTAAATTTTTTTCCCATTTATTTTTATTAGTTGGAGGCTAATTACTTTACAATATTGTAGTGGTTTTTGCCATACATTGACGTGAATCAGCCATGGATTTACATGTGTTCCCCATCCTGAACCCCCCTCCCACCTATCCTTTTTTTACTTCAAAGTTTATAGAAAAGCATTTGTTGAAGGCCCACTGTGTATAAGATGTTGCAATAAGTTCTGAGAAAAAAAATAGCAAACGGTTTTATTGAGATTTATTATTTACCATTTAAATTTCTCAAACTCCTGGAAATACAGAGAAAAATAACTTTAAATTTTAAAACACAATAATCTTGAAATTGCAAAAGTAGAGCATTGAATGAGAATAACTGAATATGTGGCACATTAAAAAAATGCAAATTGCAGCTCAAAGTATATTTATAAACCTTCAAAATTTCTTGTGCAGGGAAACCCATTTCCCTGCTTCAGTTCACTTGCTTAATCTGCCAAAATTAGATTAGCCAAAGCATTAATGTGTGTTTGAAGTATGGAAATCCAATATTTTGACAAATTTTAACCAGATGAGAAAAATAAGTACCAACCCTTGCACCTGCCTGAGACATTTGCCGTTTAGGTTCATAGTTCTTACCCCTGGTTTACTGATTCCCGGCTTATTTTTCCTGTAGTATTTGTTAAATCAGTTTCCCTCGTGCAATAAATTGACCTGAAAGAGCATGGCAGTTTGCTTTGGAAACCAAATGAACACTTTCAAGTCACTTGGTATCTTGTGATACGACTCATTCGTAACTGTTTTTTGGAGTATGGAAATATTTAGGAAAATTAGTAAAGTAGACATCACATGCATAATTTGATTCAGAGAGTCACTCACATTTTTGCTCTTTGGCTTTGAAATCACTGGAAGGGGAAATAAACAGAAAGAGGAGAGAGGAGAAAATGGTATAGGAACAGATGTTTCTGAGATGAGATGGATGTGGTGGCTGAGAAGTTGGGCTCATTAAAAGCCTTGGTTTCAGACCATAACTCCTACAACCTGCAGGTCAGGCTTTTGCAGAGGGCTGATTGATGGTACTTGCCATCTTGGGATGACTGGTTCAGGCTTTGAGATTGACTGATCAGTGAACCAATCTAGATATGGGCCCCTGGCTCAGAAATTGCACAAAGGACGATGGCAGCAGTGAGTAGAGTAGATTTGATGAGATGTCAGGATTCTCTGAAAACACTGGTCTTGGCTTTCAGTGCAGCCTTTAATTGAATACCACTGAATTCCACCTGGGGGAAACAAGAGATCATGATAGAAGAATCCCTTAGAGGGTGCAACTGACCTGGCTTCAGATGCTTCAGATAACTAACAGGTCAAAGAAAGGAAAAAAAGGTTCATCTGTACCATTTTTCTAGATGCCACATATAAGCGATATTATACGATATTTGTTTTTCTCTTTCTGACTTCACTCTGTACGACAGTGTCTAGGTCTATCTACATCTCAGCAAACAGCACTATTTCCTTCCTTTTTATAACATATATACACTGCTGTGTATCAAATAGATAACTGAGAACTGACTGTACAGCACAGGGAACTCTATACTCAGTGTCCATGATGACCTACATTGGAATAATATTTTAAAAAGAAGGGATCTATATCTATATATCTATATCTATATATATGTATATCTGATTCACTTTGCTGTCCAGGAGAAACTAACACAACATTGTAGAGCAACTATACTCCAGTTTAAAAAAAAAAAAACCAAGAACAAAGGAAAACAAAGTGAAAGCTCTAGATCCATGAGAATACAATCATCTTGCCTTTTAAGAACTCCCACCTAAAGTTATTCTAGTTGGGTACATTACAATACAAAGCTTTGAAACTAAAACAAAATAGCTTTCAGACTCAGTTGACAAAAGCTATGCAATTGCCTTTCACTATGTAGAAGTTTCTGAAATGTTAGCTGTTTGGCGACTTCCTAATAATCATCCCTCAGTTTTACCCAGGTCATGAGCTATTCAAAGGGCTGAATCCACAGAGTTGTTTAAATGTGTAAGTGCTTCTTAGGAATGGAGGCATGTCCTTGACCTCATTTAATTTTCCCCCATTATACGTACATGTTCACTGTAGAAAATGTGGAAAATACACAGAAGTACAAAGTAAGTGACAATACTGTCTAGTAACTCCCCCAGTTGTATGGGGGAGAACACCAAGAACATTTCTCTAAAGGCAGCAAAACATATGGCTCTTTGGAAATTTGAGAAAACAGCAGTCTTTTTCAATTGGGAGTAATTTTGTTCCCCAACCTAAGGACATTAGATAATGCCCAGAACCATTTTTTATTATTGAATTATAAGAATGACATATATATTTTGAAAATGAGTCCTTTATCAGGTATTCTTCCAGTTTTTGACTTTTCATTCTTCTAACAGAATATCTTTCTCATTAAAAAATTTTTTTTGGCTGCACCGCATGGCTTACCCCAGTAAGGGATCAAACCCACACCCTCTGCATTGGAAGGCAAAGTCTTAACCACTAGACTGCCAGGGAAGTCCCCAGGAATATTTTTATTGTTACAACTTAGAAGGTATTACTGGGATAAAGTGAGTATAAGCCAGAGATGTGCTAACCATCCTAGAATACACAAAATAGCCCTATATAACAAAGAATTATCCTGTCAAAGTGTCAATAGTGTTGACAAACTGTTGATAAAACCATCAAAAGCCTAAGTTCCAATTGTATTTGTTTTGTGTCAGCGTGAAATGGCAGACTTTCCATGTTAGAAAACTGTTCTTCCTACAACATTGTAATTATTCTAGGTACTTGACCCAACCAAGAGATATATATTGTCAAGATTTTGCTGTATAAGCTTCCAGGCTTTTATGTGCAGAGTTTTTTTTTTTTTTTCCATTTATTTTTATTAGTTGGAGGCTAATTACTTTACAACATTGCAGTGGTTTTTGTCATACATTGAAATGAATGACAAGCTTACTAGAGGTCTGCCTGCACACATTCAGGCAGAGAAGAGCAGTCACTGAAAGCTACTATTTCATGGCTCTGGGGGGTGGAGGGGCTTGGCCCTTTTCCTCTTTGGTAAGGAAGGGGCTCTTGATTGGCACAGGTGAGAGTCAGAGGGAACTTGGGATTCGGAAAGGCGATGAAGGTTACATCGGTTGAACAAAGCTCAAGTAACCCTATTAAAATCAGCACCCCAGCAGACATGACCCCAGATTCTCTTCCTCTCTCTCAACTGACTTTGATTTCCTCTCATTTTTTCCTCCTCTTCCATTTTCATAGAGAATTTTAGAGTTTTGCTTTGTGGATTTTTTTTTTCATTTATTTTTATTAGTTGGAGGCTAATTACTTTACATCATTGCAGTGGTTTTTGTCATACATTGAGATACATAAGTGGTATACTACACATACTGTTTTGTCCATGACTTTTTTTCTGCCCAACAATTTAAAAAATATTTTTTCATGTTAACAGAGTGATCTGTTCATTCTAAGTATTGCATAGCAATCCATGAACTGAATATATCATAGTTTAACAGTTACCTATGGACATTTAGATCATTTCCGTTACTGTCCTATCAAACATAATGTTGCAATAACCTTGATACATGCTTTTTTGTGTTACATGTATTTCTCTGCAGTAGCTTCCAAGAAATGAATTGCTTTGTAGAAAATTGAGCTCATTTAAAATTTTAACTGAAATTCACAAATTGTCTTAAAAAAGCCAAATCAATCTAAACTGTCATTAGAAAATGTATGAGTTCCCATTTTCCTGTATAGTCACTAACACTTGCTATTACAAAACTCTTGTAATTTTTAGCGATCTTATGGGTTAAAAATATTTTTGTAATTTGAATTTCTTTGATAATTACTTTTAGGTTGAGCAGTTTTTCATGTTTCTGGGTTAAGTCATTTATATCTCCTCTTCTGAAAATTACCTTTACATCTCCTTTAACAATTTTGTTTCTTTTTGATTGTTGGTCTTTAAAAAACTTAGTTTTTTAGAAGTTATTTATTCTGGGAAGGTATTAATAGTTTTTCTGTTATTTATTTCCAATTATTTTCACTCAGTTTATCCCTCATCTTTAAACTTAGTTTTTTAGAAGTTATTTATTCTGGGAAGATATTAATATTTTTTCTGTTATTTATTTCTGACTATTTTCACTCAGTTTATCCCTCATCTTTTTAATTCTGGGGTTATCATTCATTTCATAAATTTTAAAATATTGATATATTCAAATTTATCTATTATTTCCTTTATAATCTTGCCTTTTGGATGTTAAGGAGGCCTCCTTTCTTTTAGGTTTAAAATATGTCCTCCAATATTTTCTTCTAAAATTTTCATCATTTGGATTTTGGTTTCTTTAATTCATGTGGACAAGGCTGGGTTTCTGGACATGAAACCTATGTGACTGCACGGAGCCCTACACTTAGAAGGAAATTATGTATTAATTTTTTGTGAGGATGTGAATGATGTGAATGAGGCAGGATATAGATTTCTTTAGGAATGCATGCTCTGTAGTTAAACACTCACATTTGAATTAGCCAGCACTGCTTAACCGTGTAACATCATGTAAATTTCTCCTCAGATTTCTCATCCTTAAATTGGGAATAGTGACAAGAGCCAGCTCAAATCATTGTTTTATTGATGTGATGTAATGCAGGTTAAGCCCTTAGTAAAGAATCTAACATGCAGTAAGTGCTCATTCAATCTTTGCTCTTATGTAAGTTTTCCTGTGCTCATTTTAATAAAAGATTTTTAAAGTGTCATGACTTACCTTTAATAAGGATTTCTTTTATACAGTACTGTCCAGGTTTTGTTCTGCAGGTTCCAAAGTCCAAAAGACATCCATGAAAGGGGATTGAGAGGTTGCATTGTCTACAAATCACACCTCCAACAGCTCAAGTACAGGGTAGGGAAAAATAAGGGGAAAATAGACATCAGAGAGGGAAAAAAAGACAGAGAAAAGAATAATCCAAAAAATAAAGTAGTGATTTTCAATTTTAAAAAATGAACAATATTTTATAAATTGATTCTAAAAACTCAAATTTAAAATATTTTATTTTGGGAATTTAATGGGGTGAATTTTATAACATATGCAACATTAAAGAAGTGGAAGCACTCTGAACTAATTAAAAATGAAGCCAGGTGGGCTAAACAACTTAGTTGGTTAAAATAAATTCAGGAACTCAGAGCCTAATTAAATTAAACCAAAGTTATTTAGCCAGAATATTTAATTTCAGCCATATATTCACTGTTAGGCCTTTGTTTCAATGTCTAAGGCAGTACATTACATGTAGTGGGTTCTCTGTGAGCATTTATCGCTTAATGTTTAGGTATTGTTGTTGTTTAGTCGCTAAGTTGTATCAAACTGTTTTTCAACCTCATTGACTGTAGCCTGCCAGGCTCTTCTGTTCATGGGATTTCCCAGGCAAGAATTTTGGAGTGGGTTGCTGTTTCCTTCTCCAGGGGATCTTCCTGACCCAGAGATCGAACCCATGTCTCCTGCACTGTAGGCAGCTTCTGTACCGTTGAGCCATAAAGGAAGCCCTGTTTGCACATTGGTAGATTCTAACTCAGGTTCTGTGGAGGCTGTGAAAATCTGTGTTCATTTTATTTTGGCTTAAAAGAGTTATTTATTTTGGTTATATAGAAGTAGCCCAGAGACTCTTGAACTTAATCAACATAGGTGAGATTGGAAGACATTAACTGAAATTTGAAAGGAAGATCCCTTTTCAAATCTGACTATACATCAGATTTACTTAGGCAGTTAAAATGAACACAGATTTCCACAGCCTCCACAGCACCTAAGTTAGAATCTATAGGAGGTGGGGCCCAGGAATCTGTATTTTAGGTGCCCAGAAACAGTGGAGGACTTGTGATTTGAATGAAGATGTCTGGACCAGTTTTTGAGAAGCACTGGTTCTACTGAATTCAGGAGTCTCCTTTGTAATAACCCCTGCAGGAAGCCTTGGCTCACGATGGAGAGCTCATTGTCATTTAAAAAAAAGCTCAGATTGTTAAAGGGTTCTTTAGAAATTGAACTAAAATTTGTCTTATGTTCATTGTTCCAACTTTTAACATATGAAAACCATTGCCATTCCACTCCTATTCACTGATTAACTACAAAGAAACATATATGAAATATTTTGTGCAAAGTATTTTTAAAATAATCTTTAAAAAATAATTTATTTATTTAGTGCGCCAGGTTTTAGCTGCAGCATGTGGAGCCTTCAATCTTCCTTGTAGTATGTGGGACATTTAGTTGTGCCATGCAAACTCTAGTTGCAGCATGTAGGACCTAGTTTCCAGGGATGGAACCTGAGCCCCCTGCTTTGGGAGCCTGGAGTCTTAGCCGCTGGACCACTGGGGTAGCCCTGTGCAGTGTATTTTATATTTCTGACATATTGGGAGTTGGAAGAGATCATTTTTAATAGAAATTAGTCTGGCTAATGAGGCTAATTAACCTCTGTTGACCACTCTCTCCAGTTTCAAACTCTTCTCAAGACATTTTGGTTTATTTGGTTCACATTGGTACTCTCCCTGAGCATGACAAACTTTCAATCTATAATCATTGATCAACCAACAAATATTTTTTAAAGAACTTAGTTTCTGCCAAGAAGCCTGTTAAGCAATTTACATGCATTAGCCCAGTCATTTCCCACAACTAACCTTTCAGGCAGGTATAGTTTTCTACATTTCACACAAAAGGAAACTGAGGTCATAAAATTTTAAGTAGTTCACTCCAGAGGCAGAGACAGGAGTTAAAAAAGGTCTATTTGAATCCAAACCCCTTGTTTTGAGCAAATACTCCATGTCACTGAAGCTGGCTACCTTTGTGCATCCCAAACCTTCTGATGTCACCCTTCTTGCTGGAGATTTTGAGTCTTTAAGATTCAAGATCAGTTACCTGCCCAGAGTACTAGAGCTGCTTGCTTCTTCAAGTCATGCCCAAGTGAATTTTCCTCCTGGACGCATGAGTTCTCAAATCACAACTTGTCCTTAGAGATCCACTGCAAGACTCAGTGGTGCCGCATGCTGGGGAGCTTGCATGATGCTGGATCTTTCTCCATCACGCCTAAGGCCCCTGGACTGTTTTCCTGGATGAGATCTGTTCTAGTTTCTTTCTCTCTCTCCTTCCTTCTGATTCCACACCCGACATTGATAGCCCTCTTCCTAAAAACTTGGCCCTGATATTCTTTACTGTAACTGAAGACAATGCCTTAACTTTTAGGCTTTTTGTTGACTGTGCTTGTTCCATCACATGACTACTTATCACTATATTTATAGGTCCCATACCCTTTCTTCTAGTCTCTTTTTGTCTGAAAATGTATTGTTGGTTTTATTAATATAACCACATATGATATATTCCAATTTGACAAGTAAATTCAAAGTTTCAGGTTTTATATTAAATTAGTAGTTTCCTCACATGATTAATTCTGAAGTATGCTACTTTATGACCTTATTGTGGGGAAAACCTAACAGGCTATATTTAATTATTCAATTGCATATTAAAAATATATATGTAATTTCCTAAACATTATAAATCACAGTGATGGTGACCTTTTTATTTATTTTTTATTTTTATTTTATTTTTTTTTAAATTTTTTATTTATTTATTTATTTTTTATCACAACCATAGTGTATCTTTTTTTTTTTTTTTTTTTTTTTTTACATGTATTCCCCATCCCGGTCCCCCCTCCCACCTCCCTCTCCACCCAATCCCTCTGGGTCTTCCCAGTGCACCAGGCCCGAGCACTTGTCTCATGCACCCAACCTGGGCTGGTGAACTGTTTCACCCTAGATAATATACGTGTTTCAATGCTGTTCTCTTGAAACATCCCACCCTCGCCTTCTCCCAAAGTCCACAAGTCTGTTCTATACATAGGAGTCTCTTTTTCTGTTTTGCACATGGGGTTATCGTTACCATCTTTCTAAATTCCATATATGTGTGTTAGTATACTGTATTGGTCTTTATCTTTCTGGCTTACTTCGCTCTGTATAATGGGCTCCAGTTTCATCCATCTCATTAGAACTGATTCAAATGAATTCTTTTTAATGGCTGAGTAATATTCCATGGTGTATATGTACCACAGCTTCCTTCGTCTGCTGATGGGCATCTAGGTTGCTTCCATGTCCTGGCTATTATAAACAGTGCTGCGATGAACATTGGGGTACACGTGTCTCTTTCAGATCTGGTTTCCTCATTGTGTATGCCCAGAAGTGGGATTGCTGGGTCATATGGCAGTTCTATTTCCAGCTTTTTAAGAAATCTCCACACTGTTTTCCATAGTGGCTGTACTAATTTGCATTCCCACCAACAGTGTAAGTATTTTAAAATAACCATCCTTGCTTCATGGACACTCCTTACTTCATAATTTCTCTCTATGCTGAATCCTCTTCTTTAACCCTCACATCTTTTCTATGTATCCAACAAGATTAATACAATCCCCTGCCTGAATAATTTTTTTCATGATAACCAAAAGACAGGAAAGCTATTCTCCTGAAAGTTGTCACCTATTCCAGTGTCCCCCTATACATTCTTTACAGAAGAGGAATATGAAGACTTCAAATACAGCAGAGACCCTAGCAGTTTGAGTTTGGTCCTATACTCTGCAAGAAATAATCAGAACTCTATTGTGAATTGTATTTAGTAATGAGGGCAGTGTGGGAAGCAGAGGCTACAAATGGTGGTCCAGCACCTAGACCTGGTTTGTTTAACGTGGGCCATATTTATAAAGGCTTCCTGCCTAGTTTGGTTAGTTCCAGCTTAACGATAGTAATAGCAACTTCTGGGCCACCATCTACCACCTCAGTGTACTCATATATAAAATGAGAAATAACAGCACTTAACTCTTAGGATTGTGGCATGGATTCAGTGCACTAATACAAATATTTAGACGAGTACCTGGCATATAGGAAGTGATGAGTTAAATGTTAGCTCTGGGTTCGATCCCTGGGTTGGGAAGATCCCCTGGAGAAGGGAAAGGCTACCCACTTCAGTATTCTGGCCTGGAGAAGTCCATGGACTGTATTACAGTCCAGGGGGTCGCAAAGAGCAGGACACGACTGAGCGACTTTCACTTTCTTATTATTAAGGGTTTACATAAGCTTTGCTATAAACACCTTAAATACTTTATTTAAGACCACCCTCCACTTATAATTCTGCAATTTCTTGAGTAATTTTTCCTCTTTTTGATTTATGTGTTCTTAATGACTTACCACCTAAGAGGCAGAAAAAGATAAAAGCACCGTTGAAGACAGTCCTCATTCTAAGATTTCTAGCCAAAAAGAAGATGGGAGGAAAGACATGTACCACCATTAAATCTTTCCTGGGGAAGCAATAAAGTTGTACATTTGTTAGCTATTATAAAATGGGAAATGATTAAAGTTTCATTTATTTCATTAAGAAGGTATAAAGAAATTCACTTTGTGAAGGAAAAATAATGTATTTGTCAAAAATTCACTGTAAATGTCTCCTAGTTTCAGAATATTTTAAGTTTAACTGTCTTCTTCTTATCAAATGCCATTCCCACCCTCAATAATTTCCCTGAATTGCAAAACTAGGAAATGAAGTAGATAATGTTTCTAGGATAATATCCTGTTAAAAATACTTTTAACTATTAGCCAAAAATTTTTACATATGCTTCTTCACAAATTAATGCTTTCATTGCAGATGATCATATTTATAAGGAAACATGATAGTTAACAATAGTTAATATTTATTAAAATGAAGGGAAAGAAATTATTAGGTTGGCTAAAATATAACAATTCAGTTATGTATGACTTACCTGCCTTCTTCATTAGTATGTTGTGGGAATTTTCTAGGTCTTAACTTCTCTAAAGGATAACAGGAAAAATTTCTGATGTAACAGTTTGTTATAACTGAAACCAGTGAGGCAGGTCTCTGATCCTCTAGATTCTAAACAGTTTAAACAGTAAAAATTGCCCAAGTAAACAGACATAAATATTTTCACCTGAACTGTCTGATCTATATGGAACTTAATTGCATTATTTATGAAATTAACCTAATAAAACTAAGTCAGGTACCAGTTAAACAAATTAACTATAAATTTGGCTAATAATTTCTAAGTTTCCTATGCTACAGATTAATTAGTTCACATACACATAGCCGTATGAGCATTTTTGTCTGTTCATTACATAAAGTACTTGATCTTGATATTAAAAAAATACCATATAATCTTTACAGTAGAACTTGATACATTCAGAAAGCTATTTGGTTTTTAGAAATGTTTATTTATGAATTAATATATAGTTCCAAATTAGTACAATCTTCTTGAAGCAGATTAAAATATAATATGAAGACTGTTGAAATCATTTTGGAACATGTTCCCACCAAATTGAGTGTCTACCCCAAATGTAACCATATTAAATATGTTGGGTGTCTTTTTTATTCTGAGCATTTTTATAATGTATCTGTAATTTGGGAATATGTATAATATTACTTTTTGTAAAAATAGTATCATATACTACATATAATTTTTTCCTTTGTGTTTCACTCAAAAATATATTTAAAATCTTTTGAGGTCAGTCTTTAAAACTACTTCTTTGTTTTTTTATTGCTATATAATATTTAGCCATTCCCTGGTTGATTGGGCTTCCCTGGTGGCTCAGAGAGTAAAGAATCTGCCTGCAATGTGGGAGACCTGGGTTCAATCCCTGGGTTGGAAAGATCACCTGGAGAAGAAATTGGCTACCCCCTCCACTGTTCTGGCCTGGAGAATTTCATGTACTATATAGTCCATGGCGTTGCACAGAGTTGGACATGACTGAGTGACTTTCTCTTTTGCTTTCACTTTTCCTGGTTAATGGCACATCAGTTCAGTTCAGTTGCTCAGTCTTGTCTGACTCTTTGCAACCCCATGAACTGCAGCATGCCAGGCCTCCCTGTCCATCACCAGCTCTCAGAGTCCACCCAAACCCATGTCCATTGAGTTGGTGATGCCATCCAACCATCTCATCCTCTGTCGTCCCCTTCTCCTCCTTGCCCTCAATCTTTCCCAGCATCAGGGTCTTTTCAAATGAGTCAGCTCTTCGCATCAGGTGGCCAAAGTATTGGAGTTTCAGCTTCAGCCTCAGTCCTTCCAATGAACACCAGGACTGATCTCCTTTAGGATGGACTGGTTTGATTTCCTTGCATTCTGAGGGATGATCAAGAGTCTTCTCCAACACCACAGATCAAAACATCAATTCTTCAGTGCTCAGCTTTCTTTATAGTCCAATTCTCACATCCATACATGACCACTGGAAAAACCATAGCCTTGACTAGATGGACCTTTGTTGGCAAAGTAATGTCTCTGCTTTTTAATAATGTCTCTGCTTTTTTAACTTTTTAAAGTTAATAAGTTGGTCATAACTTTCCTTCCAAGGAGCAAGTGTCTTTTAATTTCATGGCTGCAGTCACCATCTGCAGTGATTTTGGAGCCCCCCAAAATAAAGTCAGCCACTGTTTCCACTGTTTTCCTATCTATTTGCCAAGAAGTGATGGGACCGGATGCCATGATCTTAGTTTTCTGAATGTTGACCTTTAAGCCAACTTTTTCACTCTCCTCTTTCACTTCCATCAAGAGGCTCTTTAGTTCTTCACTTTCTGCCATAAAGGTAGTGTCATCTGCATATCTGAGGTTATTGATATTTCTCCCGGCAATCTTGATTCCAACTTGTGCTTCTTCCAGCCCAGCGTTTCTCATGATGTACTCTGCATATAAGTTAAATAAGCAGGGTGACAATATACAGCCTTGACGTACTCCTTTTCCTATTTGGAACCAGTCTGTTGTTCCATGTCCAATTCTAACTGTTGCTTCCTGACCTGCATACAGATTTCCCAAGAGGCAGGTCAGGTGGTCTGGTATTCCCATCTCTTTCAGAATTTTCCACAGTTTGTTGTGATCCACACAGTCAAAGGCTTTGGCATAGTCAATAAAGCAGAAATAGATGTTTTTCTGGAACTCTCTTGCTTTTTCAATGATCCAGTGGATGTTGGCAATTTGATCTCTGGTTCCTCTGCCTTTTCTAAAGCCAGCTTGAACATCTGGAAGCTCATGGTTCACATATTGCTGAAGCCTGGCTCGGAGAATTTTGAGTATTACTTTACTAGTGTGTGAAATGAGTGCAATCATGCAGTAGTTTGAGCATTCTTTGGGATTGCCTTTCTTTGGGATTGGAATGAAAACTGACCTTTTCCAGTTCTGTGGCCACTGCTGAGTTTTCCAAATTTGCTGGCATATTGAGTGCAGCACTTTCACAGCATCATCTTTTAGGATTTGAAATAGCTCAACTGAAATTCCACATAGGCTCTTCTTGTTTTGTTTTGTTTCAATGACAAACAATTTTGCAATGTATGTATATGTCCTTGGGCACTTATGCAAGTAGTTTTTCTAAGACTGATCCTGAGGAGTGGAATTATTCAGGGTGTATTTGTGTGATGTTTTAATGTGATATGCTTAGTCACTCAGTTGTGTCTGACTCTTTGCAAACCCATGGACTGCAGCCTGCCAGGCTCCTCTGTCCATGGCGATTCTCCAGGCAAGAATACTGGAGTAGGTTGCCATGCCCCGCACTAGGGGATCTTCTCAACCCATGGATCGAACCCGGGTCTCCTGCGTTGCAGGTGAATTCTTTACCAACTGAGGCACGAGGGAAGCCCAATAAATACCATCAAATTGCCCCTGAACGTGACTATCAATCTTCCTACCACCAACAGAGTATGAGTACCTTTTTCCCTCATTAATATTGACTCAAAGATTTGTAATACAATGTTAATTAGAAGCTTAAAATCTAAATTAAAATAGCATTATATTTTAGCCTATCAAGTGCACAAAGATGAAAAAGTTATTGACAAAGGGTATTTTGAAATATGTACTTTTAATTACAGTGTTAGGAAATGTAAATTAATGTATGGGTGTGTGTGTGGGGTATGTGTGTGTTAGTGTTTACATGCTATTAGTACATTTACTCATATATGCATACATTAGTGTGTTAGTACATGTGTGTATTAGTACATATGGACTATTAGTATATTTGCACATACAAACACAATAAATACTTTGCATTACATCATATATTGTATAGATTTATCAGTTCAGTTCAGTCGCTCAGTTGTGTCTGACTCTTTGTGACCCCATGGACTGTAGCATGCCAGGCCTGCCTGTCCATCACCAACTCCTGGAGTTTACTCAAACTCATGTCCATTGACTCAGTGATAGATTTATAGTTTGCTTTAAAAAAAACTTTTTCATATTTTGAATATTTATTTTGTCTTTAAGTGTTCCTTAAGAATGTATTTTTAAAGATTCTGTAATATTCGATAGAGTAAATCAATGGGCTTACTATAATTTATTTAATAATTCCTACATGTTTGTGTATTTCTCATTATATTTTTGTTATGTTTGAGTAGATTTTTAGGATAAATTTGTAGAAATAGAATTATAGGAATAAAACATAAGCCTTTTATAAGACTTCTGATACACATTAGTAAATTGTTTTCTGAAAAATGCCAATTTTAATGCCAATTTAGAGCTATGGTGTGGTATATTCACTGAAAAATTTTTTTAATGAAATATAGTTGGTTTTCAATGCTGTGTTGATTTCTACTGTACAACAAAGTGATTCCGATATACATAAGTGTACAGTCTTTTAAAAATTCTTTTCCATTAGGGTTTATATACTAGGACTTTGTTATTGTCCATTCTAAATGTAATAGTTTGCATTTACTAACCCCAAGCTCCCAGTCTCTCTCTCCCCTGCCCTTCCCTCCCCCTTGCAGTCACAAATCTGCTCTCTGTGAGTCTATTTCTATTTGTCAATAGGTTTATTTGTGTCATATTTTCGATTCCACATATAAGTGATATCATATGGTGGGTTTCTTTTTAAGACTTATTTATCACTTAGTATGAAAACTTCTAAATCTGTCCATGTTGCATTACTTGGCATTACTTCATTCTTTTTTTTTTTTTTTTGGTTGAGTAGTATTCTATTATATATATATATGTAAAACATCTTCTTTATCCATTTATCTGTCGATGGATATTTAGGCTGTTTCCAATTCTTGGCTATTGTGAATAGTGCTGCTATGAACATAGGGGTGTATACATCTTTTTGAATCACAGTTTTGTCTGGATATGTGGGATTTCTGGACCATATGGCAACTCAGTTTTTTGAGGAACCTCCATACTGTTTTCCACAGTGGCTACACCAATTTATATTCCCACCATGGCATATTCATTTTTAAATTCCCAGTGCTTAGCTTGCACTGTGCCTAGAGCACAATAAGCTCTTGGTTAATGCTAATTTTTCTTCCATTTCTCTGGATGATTTCCTTTTGACCATATATCTACCTTGTAAGTTTGTTTTTGACTTTGATGAACCATTATTGAAAAAGTGTTCCCTTGAATCAAGGTGACATTATCCAATTACTCAATCCATAATATATGTTTGCACAAATATAAATTCTTAGATATTAATTATGAGGACATTTTCTTTAATATATATTATCTATATCTCCTTTCCTTGAGTGAGAATTTTTTTATACTCTCTCTAATTTATCTCTGTAGGAAATAGATTTTGGCAGAAGCAATCAGTATGGAATGTGGGGCTCTGAAAGTGGCCACTGGGTGTCTTGGAGTTTTGGAATATAAATTTTCATCTGAGTTGCCCTGGAAAGGTAACTGGATACAAAATATTGATTCTTAAATCAATAGCAATACATGCTTTATGATTGCACTGAACATATGAAGTTCGGGTACAGGCAACTTGAGTCTGTCATAATTGGAGATGGACTAGTGTGGTTAATTCTGGGAAGGAAGATGGATTTGAGAAGGGGCATGAGAAAACTTTCCAGGGTGAAATGAAAGTGTTCTATATTTGATCTGAGTGGTAGCCATGTGTTTATGCAAATGTAAAATGTTATTGAACTGTTCATCTTAGATTTGTTCATTGTGGTGAGCAATACCTTCAAAGGACATAGGTTTTCTTTCATTAAGAATGAATTTCTCATTAAGAATGAATCAATGGGAGCCTTTCACAAGCACCTCTATATGAATCCAGAATTTACTGAATAGTATAAAGGAGTGATGTTATTCAATAAGTATTTATTCAGTTTCTACTATGTTGCAGACATACTGATTTAATTTTTTTTTCCTATATCATTTTGGTAGAGAAGTGAAAGTCTGGTTAAGGTGAGACAGGAGACAGAAAGGAAGTTAGAAAGGTATTGCACTAGTTTAGTTAAGAGGTAATAAAGCCTGGAACCAGGGCAACAGGAGGGATGCAAAAGAGGAAATAGATGAGAGAAATGCCAAGGACTAAGTGTTCACTATCCTAATGCAAACTGTCTTGAGTCAGGAAACAGCTCAGTCCTATCTTTTTCTACAATAACACTCCACTTAACACACTTTATTTTTTTCCCACTTAACACACTTTAAAAGAATTATTTCTTTATATTCTCTCTCGCCAGAGTGTTATCTTCCTAAGCGAAGAAATGCCATCTTGCTATCTCTAGGTTCTAGTAGGATGCCTGGCACATAATAGGTGTTTGATAAATGTTTGCCAAATGAATGGGATATCTTTAGTGGAAGGAAGATCAGAGAAAAGAATCCCAGAGTAGCAGCATGAGGGTAAGAGATTGTGAGAAGCATAAGTGGCAAGGATGAGCCATGAAGTTGAGTGGACTCTCCTTGGGCTGGTGTAGACTGAGGTCCCAGGTGCTGTACTGGGCCTGAGGAGATGAGCAAAGTCTGGTTTTCTCAAGGGGTTGTTTGGCTCTCTCTTAAGATAGCTCTCCCCTGGCAGTAAGAAGGAAGAAGTAGCTGGTTCCTAGGAGACAGCCTTCTGGCTGAAATCCTAGAATCCAAGCTATCTACAAGTCCAGAGTCTTTAGAGCTGGATATGCTGGAGAACCGTGAGAAAGCGCTATACAGGCCAATCAGGACAGGACTGTCTGTCTATAGGGATGGTCACCTCTGTCGTAATACAAAGACATTTAATGACTTTAAATAATTCACTTCGTCATCCTGAGCCTTGGTTTCCTCATCTCTGTAGTGAGGGGCTGGATGATAGTGTTCTGTGGTTCCACATGGACCGAGAAGCCTGGCTGGCCACAGTCCATAGCATCACAAGAGTCGGACACGACTTAGCGACTAAACCACCGCCAGCTCCATTGTAGTCCTCCAGTTAGTGAGCAGAAGGAGAAACTCTAAAACCACAGGTTTGGATAAAACCTCCTTCGTAGCAAGAAATGACATTTGTATTCTATGAACCTTGATTTCTCACCATAGTAAGAGGAGTGTATGTGCGTATAGATGGGCCGGTGCCGATCACACCAGCTGCAGTGTGATACACAGATACACACATTGCAGAGTACTACTAGTGAGTCACATTTCAGACACTCTCCTCTCTTTTCTGGTAGATTTTATGATGAATAAAAATGTGAAATATATAACTTTAACATTATACCCAGGAGGGTAAGAGCAGGGTTCAAAAGCACTCCAATACTTACTGTAAGATGCTTTACCTGTAGAGCCATTGTTATCCTGATCTCTGCTAAGAACTAATGCTAAATTATATTACTTTGAAGCTAAAAAAACATTGCCACCAACCTGCTTAGGGATAGGAAACTTTTTATTCCCATTTGGGGAGATTCAGAGAGATTACAAGATTTCCCTTATATGAATCATTAAGTAAATGAAGATTTGGGGCCAAAAAAGCCCAAGTGTCCTCATTCTTCATGAGGATGTTTCCTCAAATACAGAATGCGAGCTTCCTTTATGGATAACAGAGATGTTACAGTAGCAAATGAATATTATAATTTATATGCAGTATAACTAGAATCTGTATCAGTTTAAGATTCTAAACCAAATTTTAGATATTGTCATTTGTTCATTTATTCAGTAATTACTTATTGACCTCCTAGTATGTGTCAGATACTATATAGTTAAAGCAAAAGCAAAAAAAAAAAAAAAACAAAACCTTGCTATCATGCAGCTTGTATTCTACTGAAAGAAAAAGAAATGAGGAAACAAATATATGTACATACAAATAAAATAATTTCAAATAATGATGAGTGGCATAAGAAAATAAAATAGGGAAATGTGATAAACAGTGATGACAGGTAGGAAATATCTATCAGAGTCCCAAAAGGTGTTATGGGCTGAATCGTGTCTTTCCAAAATATATGTGAAACCCTACCCCAGTACCTCAGTTCAGTTCAGTTCAGCCGCTCAGTCATGTCCGACTGTTTGCGACCCCATGCACTGCAGCACGCCAGGCTTCCCTGTCCATCATCAACTCCCAGAGCTTACTCAAACTCATGTCCATTGAATCAGTGATGCCATCCAACCATCTCACCCTCTGTCATCCCCTTCTCCTCCCGCCTTCAGTCTTTCTCAGCATCAAGGTCTTTTCATATGAGTCAGGTGGTCAAAGTATTGGAGTTTCAGCTTCAGCATCAGTCCTTCCAATGAACATTTAGGACTGATCTCCTTTAGGATGGACTGGTTGAATCTCCTTGCAGTCCAAGGGACTCTCAAGAGTCTTCTCCAATACCACAGTTCAAAAGCATCAATTCTTCAGCGCTCAGCTTTCTTTATGGTCCAACTCTCACATTCAAATATGACTACTGGAAAAACCAAAGCTTTGACTAGACGGACCTTTGTTGAGAACCCCATTAACAGTATGAAAAGTACCTCAGAATGTGACCTTTTTTGGAAATAGCGTCATTGTATGTGCAATTAGTTAAGTTGCATCATTAGAGTAATTTCTAATTCAATATGACAAAGGAGAAATTTGGACAGAGACACATGGGCAGAACATCATGTGAAGATGAAGGCAGAGATTGGGATGATGCTTTTATAAGCCAAGGAATGCCAAAAATTGCCAGCAAACCTTCATTAGCTAGGGGAGAGGCATAGAACAGATTCTCCTGCACAGTTCTCAGAAGGAGCCAGCCTTGTCCACACCTTGGTTTTGGATATCTAACTTCTAGAATTGTGAGACAATAAATTTCTGTTATTTAAGCCACACAGTTTGTGGTACTTTGTAATGCCAACCCTAACAGACTAATACATAAGGAAATGGATGGCATACTCAAGGTAAAAGGGATTTTAGAGAAGGAAAACAAACAAGGGATAATGAAACACCTTAGACCCCAAAATAGGTTGTTGCTTCTGAGCTTAAAGGGATAAAGGGAAGGAGCCATTAGTGGAGCCTTATGGGAAGTGATGGCTATAGAACTTTGGTAAAAGAACATGGCCACCACCAACCAACAACTCAGCATGGGGGGGAACCAGGGAAATACCCAGATCTTTCTTTCCTTCTGCCCTTCTGTTTCCTGCCATTGCTTCCCATTGGCAAAACCCAATAGAAAGAGAGAGCAAAGAGGCCTTGTTGATACATCTTGTGAAGGTCAGCTTCCTGGGGGACAGGGTATAATGGAGAAGAGTAGACACTATGTTTGGAGGAACAGATGACAACTATCTAGCAGGGTTTGGGAAGAGACAGCAGTTGAGCTGAGAACTCAGTGAAACAGCCATCGTGGGGAATTATGTTCCTGCAGAGGGAACAGCAGGTGTAAAGGCCCTGAGGTGGGGGTGAACTAATGATTTGAGAAATAGAGAACCAGAGTGTTCAGGTGTGGTGAGTGCAGGGGCATACATACTTGGTGAACTCAGAGAGATGGGCAGTTGTTTCAATGTTTAAGGCCTCGTTTAGGTGTCAGTAAGAAGGTTAGACTTGTAATTGTATTGGGAAACAAATGGAGAATTTTAAATTATTGAGATGTGATGTGATTTGCATTTTGAAAGGATCGCTTTAACTACTTTGTGGAGTCTGGTTTTAGGAGGGTTAGTGTAGAAGCAGGGTGCTTACTTAGGAGGTGATGTTGCTGCTAAGTTGTGTCAGTCGTGTCCAACTCTGTGCTACCCTACAGACGGCAGCCCGTCAGGCTCCCCCGTCCCTGGGTTTCTCCAGGCAAGAATACTGGAGTGGTTTGCCATTTCCTTCTCCAGTGCATGAAAGTGAAAAGTGAAAGTGCAGTCGCTCAGTTGTGTCAGACTCTTTGTGACCCATGAACTACAGCCTACCAGGCTTCTCCATCCATGGAATTTCCCAGGCAAGAGTACTGGAGTGGGCTGCCATTGCCTTCTCCAGATAGGAATACTCTAATGAGACATTATGGTGACTTGGACAAAAGTGGTAGATAAGAAGGTGTGGATCACAGGGGACAGACTGAGGCTCTATGTTTAAAATAGGGAAGAAAGGACTTGTACTTCAACTTATGTGGGAAGGAAGGAAAAATGAGGAATCAAGGTTGATGTCTGGGTTTTTTGGCTTGAGTAATTCGGTGTTTCATACATACTGAGACAGGGAAATTGGGGAAGAGCAGATTTGAGAGGAAAACTCTAAGTTCTGATTGGGATACATTAAGTTTTAAATATCTTATAAACTTCCAAGTAAAGATTACAAGTAGCAGCTGGCAATGAATCTCAAGCTTAGGAGAGAAGTTAGGGCTAGAAATATAAATTTGATGTGTTATTTGAAGCATGTATATGAAATTGGATAGCACTGCCTATTGCAAGATTATACACAGAGAAGAGAGGACTTTTTCTGGCAATATGGAAAGCCAGAGATTCTGAAACCCATGTCTGCTGCGTGACATCTAAAAATACTCAACAACAATTTTAAAAAAACCCTTTGAAATAATCAAATACTCTGTTTAAGAAACTAATGAAAATTCTCTAAGGTTAGGAATAAAGAGGAATAGGAGAACGTGGAGGCAAATGTTGTGGACTGAGTATTTATGTCCTCCCAAATTTCATATTGAATTTGAAGCCTCATCCCCCAGTGTGGCTATATTTGGAGTTGTGGCCTTTGAGGAAATAATTAAAGTTAAATGAGGTCAGACTTGTGGTACTCTCATCTGACAGGATTAGTGTCTTTTTAAGAAGACACTGGAGACATCTGACTTCCTCTACCCGCTTCCTCAACCTGAAGAAGCAGTGAGAAGGCAGCTGTCTGCAATCCAGAAAGAGGGTCCTCACCAGAAGTCAAATCTGCTAGAAGACTGACTTTGACTATTAGGCTCTAGAACGGTGAGACAATAAATTGTTTAAACTACTCAGCCTGTGATGTTTTGTCATGGCAGCCTGAGCAGACTAAGACAACAAATGAACCTTGAATCCTTTGCATATATTGAAACCCCTGGATGTGGGTGGTCTAGAGCTTTGGAACATACGGGATATTGGAGACAAAGTACTGAGTCAGTGCAGGTCATAGACTTATTAGATACCACTTTACATAGATCCAGGACATATTGAATAGAAAGAGCTATGTCCTTAGGTAAAGGGTGAACTAAAAAAAGAAAACTCCCCTCTCAGAAGCAGACAGCAATATCGGGTGTCGTACTGGAGGGAGGTTAAAGAAAAGAACTGTCTCCTCTAACAATATCTTTCATATTTGGCTGAATTTATATTATTTTCATGGTCCTTAGAATGATGGGCTAGGGACTGTAGTTTAAAGGAGATGCTGGTGTCCTCAGGCATGGAGCAAACCCACACAAATACTCCTTAGAGGACTTTCCCTGTGTTTGAGGCTTTAGAGAATTCCCACAAAGTTCAAGAAAATTTATTTTTTTGTTGAAGTTTAGTTGATTTACAATGTTGTACCAATCTCTGCTGTATAGCAAAGTGACTCAGTTACACACATATACTGCATTCTTTTTTTATATTCTTTTCCATGATGGTTTATCACCAGCTGAGTATAGTTCCCTGGGCTATACATTAGGACTTATTGTCTCTCCATTCTAAATATAATAGTTTGAATACCAACCCTAAACTCCCAGTTCATCCCTTTCTCTTCCCCTCTCCCCCTCGGCAACTGCAAGCCTGTTCTCTATGAGTCTGTTTCTGTTTTGTAGATAGGTTCATTTGTGTCGTATTTAAGCTTCTATATGTAAGTGATGTCATATGATATTTACCTTACCCATTCTGACTTATCTCACTTTTTAGTATGATAATCTCTAAGTCCATCCATGTTTCATTATTTTTTATGGCTGGGTAGTACTCCATCGTGTAAATGTACCACATCTTGTTTATTCAGTCATTTGTTGATGGACATTTAGGTTGCTCCCTTGTTTTGGCTATTGTGTACAGTGTTGCTGTGAATATTGGGGTGCATATATCTTTTTGAATTATAGTTTCATCTGAACATGTGCCCAGGAGTGGGATTACAGGATCATGTGGCAACTTTATCCTTAGTTTTTTGGGAACCTCCACATGGTTTTCCATAGTGGCTGTACAAACTTACTCTCTCACAGTTTAGGAAACTGCTTTTCTCTACTCCCTCTCTAGCATTTTTTT